CCCCCCTCCCTCTTCCCTTTCCCCCTCCCCCTCCCCCTCTGTGTGTGTGTATGTGTGTGTGTATGTATGTGTATGTATTTGTCTGTCAGATCTATCTGAGATAGGGTCTGTCTGTATTATCTGAGATAGGGTCTTGCTATATAGCTTAAACTAGCCTATAACTGGTGATCCTTCAGCTGTAGCTTTTAAGTGCTGAAATATAGTTATGATCCACTGCACCATGTTTTGGTTTTTATCTATTTAAAAATATACTTAAAAGTTAAAAAAATGTGTTTGGGGGCTGGAGAGATGGCTCAGCGGTTAAGAGCACTGACTGCTCTTCCAGAGGTCCTGAGTTCAAATCCCAGCAACCACATGGTGGCTCACAACCATCCGTAATGAGATTCGATGCCCTCTTCTGGTGTGTCTGAAGACAGCTACAGTGTACTCATAAATAAAATAAATAAATAAATCTTTAAAAAAAAATGTGTTTGTGTATTTACAGTGGCATGTTTGGTCAGAGAACAGCTTTGAGGGGAGTCAGCTTTCTCTTTCCATTGTAGATTTTGGGAATGACATTCAGGTTGTCAGGCTTGGTGGAACTTGACTTTACCTGCTGAGCTATCTCATTGGTCCTGACATCCTAAGGTTTCGAAGTCCCAGTTTTGTTTTGTTTTTAATTTACTCAGTTCATTTATTTTAGAGTCTGTGTCAGAATACTCAGGTATCTGGTTCTTTTACTATGTTTTCTGTTTTGTTTTTCTCTTGGCTCCTATTCTTTGGCCTTTTTTGCTGCTGTGTAATTTTGATTGACACCGTATAGTTGAAGTTGTCAGGCTCTCTTTTCTTTTTTTTGAAAGGATTTGTTTCTTTGAACGTTGAAGGCAGAAAAGTTACAGCAGATCTGCTGAAATCAAGATTGGGGTAGAGGAAGTTTGAGGATTGTTTTAGTCACTGTTGTGTTGCTGTGAAGAGACACTATGACTAAGGTAACTCTTATGAAAGAAAGCGTTGAATTGAGAGCTTGTTTACAGTTTCAGAGGCTTAGTTCATTATCATCATGGCGGGGAGCATGGTCACACACTGAATCACTGAAGCAGTAGCTGAGAGCTACATCCTGATCCACAGCTGAGAGAGAGAGGGGGGTGTGAGGGGAGGGGAGAGAGAGAAAATGCACGTGGACTTTTGAAACTTTGAAAAGCCCACTCTCATGATACCCTTCCTCCATCAAGGCTATATCTCCTAGTCCTTGCAATCCTTTCCAACAGCTTATTCCCTAGTGACTAAGCATTCAAATAGATGAGTCTATGGGCACCGTTCTCATTCAGATCACCAAAAGGATGGCTTTACTTTCTCTGCTTGCTGGTTTTCACTTTTGATTCAGTGGTATGTTCATGCATGAGTCACTTCATGGGTTCCTGTGTATAACCCAACTTGAGAATGTATACCACTCTGGCTCCTAGTAAGTGTCATTGTGTTAATTTTCTACATGTCTTGTCAGTCCATGCTATCTATAAGCACCTATCATGTAAGATTACTCATTGTAAGTATCAGAAAT